CCATGCCGATTTTATCGGAGGAGAAAATGCCAATTATCGCAAATGGTATTTCGCTGCTTTTTTCGATTTTGATGATGCTCGAACCAATGCTGCCAACAAAGGAACCCCTATACCAACACAGCCGGACGGCCTTGAAGTCGCTCAAGATAAATGGAGACAACGTATGGCGTCAATGTCACAACACGATCGAGTGCGACAATTAGCTTTATATCTTTTACTATGGGGTGAAGCTTCCCAAATTAGATTCATACCGGAATGTCTGTGTTTCCTCTTTAAATTGGCTGATGACTATTACAAGTCGCCGGAATGTAAGCAAAGAGTACGACCGTTACCGGAAGGCGAATATCTCCATACCATCGTGACTCCGTTATACAAATATATCAGAGATCAAGGATACGAAGTCATTGGAGGCAAGTACGTTAAGCGAGAAAAAGACCATGCGGACGTTATTGGATATGACGACATTAATCAACTCTTCTGGCGCCCCGAGCTGATCGATAGAATAATGATAACTACCGCAGGAACAAGCATAATGAATGTACCCGCCGGGCAGAGATATATGTATTTGAAAGACGTCAATTGGAACCACGTATTCATAAAGACATACAAAGAAAAGCGTACGTGGATACATGCGCTCGTTAACTTTACTCGCATATGGATCATTCACGTAGTATCCTACTGGTACTATACTGCGTATAACGCGCCATTCTTGTATATGGATCCTACCAAAGGAGAGCGAGCTGTACAATTTTCAGTTGTGGCCTTGGGTGGAGCAGTAGCAACACTGTTTATGATTGCTGGCTGCGTGTGCGAATTCATGTTTGTTCAATTTACCGAGCCCAACATATTTATGCTTGGTCGTCGACTGATATTCTTGTTCATTGTGTTTGCGCTGAACGCTGGTCCGACTTATTATGTCGTAGTCATGAATAGGACTGGTCAAACCGCATTGTTTATTGCCCTTGGTCAGCTCTTCTTGTCTGTGATTACGACCCTTTATTTTTCCATTGCTCCGAGTTCGAGATTGTTTGGTGGTCCGTCAAAAACTTCGAGAGAAGATCTTGCTGCTCGCATGTTCTCTGCCAATTATCCAAAGCTGCCAAAAACCGAGAGAGCACTTTCAATTGCGTTGTGGGTCTGCGTGTTTTCTTGCAAGCTGGTCGAGTCGTATTTCTTCTTGTCTCTTTCCTTCAAGGATCCCTTAAAGGAAATGCACAACATGACCGTGAATAACTGTGGAGATTCTTTGATCGGAAGTAAGCTTTGTACTCAAATGCCTCGTATGGCGATTGTTATCATGTTCTTTATGGATCTGGCACTATTCTTCTTGGATACCTACCTGTGGTACATTATCTGGGGCACCATCTTCTCGGTATGCAGAGCATTTTATCTGGGAATTTCTATTTGGACACCATGGAAATACGTCTTTACAGAGCTTCCAAAACGTATTTATGTCAGGCTTTTATGCACCGAGAACACGCAACCAAAATACAAGCCAAAAGCCTTGATATCACAAGTGTGGAATGCTATTGTTATCTCCATGTATCGGGAGCACTTGTTGTCGTTAGAAAATGTGAAAAGGCTTCTCTATACACCAGAACGATCAAATAGGACTGGTGAACAAACGCTTCGGCCACCAGAATTTTTCACCAAGCCTGGCGAATCGAAATCAAAATATTTTCCCAAATTTAGCGAAGCAGAAAGGCGTTTCTCGTTTTTCGGCCAAAGTTTGTCAATCACTATGCCAGATTCTATCCCGGTGCCGCAAATGCCAACTTTTACTGTGCTAGTGCCTCACTATTCCGAAAAGATTCTTCTCTCTCTCAAAGAGATTATTGGAACAGAGGATCAGAGCACCCGGGTTACCTTGCTCGAATATCTTAAACAGCTGCATCCTATCGAATGGGACAATTTCGTTAGGGACACGAAAGCGCTTGCTGAAGATAAATCACTGTATAAACCAACTGCAGTCGGGAACCGATTCAGAAACGTTAGCAAAGAAGATGATCTTGCCTTTTATTCCGTAGGGTTCAAATCATCAGCTCCGGAATTTACCCTGCGAACGCGTATCTGGGCGTCGCTCCGTGCTCAAACATTATATCGCACAATTAGTGGATTCATGAACTATTCAAAGGCCATTAAATTGTTATATCGCGTTGAGAATCCCGAAATTGTTGCTAAATACGCCCGAGATCCTCGCAAACTGGAGGAAGAAATTGCCAACATGGCATCCAGAAAGTTCAAATTTGTAGTCACCATGCAAAGATACTCGAAATTTAGCCCGGAAGAACAAGAAAATGCTGATTTCTTACTACATGCTTATCCAGAACTGCAAATTGCTTACCTCGAAGAAGTGCCACCTGAGCGTGAAGGCGAAGAGGCAAAGATATTCTCGGTTTTGATCGATGGTCGTTGCAAGAAGGATGAGAACGGCAAACGTATACCTAAGTATCGTATCCAATTACCTGGCAATCCTATCCTCGGGGATGGTAAATCAGACAATCAGAACCACGCAATCATTTTTTATCGTGGAGAATTTCTTCAGCTGGTAGACGCTAATCAAGACAACTATCTTGAGGAATGTCTCAAAATTAGAAACGTGCTAGGCGAATTCGAAGTCTATGGCCAACCACCTTCGGCGCCCTACTCCCAAAGCGATGGGAATTCTTATCCCGTAGCAATTGTTGGTGCACGCGAATATATCTTTTCGGAGAACTATGGTGTGCTCGGTGATGTGGCTGCAGGAAAGGAACAGACGTTTGGAACGCTTACTGCGCGTTTGATGGCTTTGATCGGTGCCAAACTACATTATGGTCATCCCGACTTTCTGAATGCTATATTTATGACTACGCGTGGTGGTGTTTCGAAAGCTCAGAAAGGATTGCATCTAAATGAGGATATTTATGCTGGTATGAATGCATTTTGTCGTGGCGGTCGCATTAAACACTCTGAATACTATCAATGCGGTAAAGGACGTGATCTTGGCTTTGGTTCCATTCTACACTTTACAACAAAAATTGGGACCGGTATGGGCGAACAGATGCTCTCGAGAGAATACTATTACTTGGGTACTCAATTGCCACTGGACCGATTCCTGACGTTTTATTATGCCCATCCGGGTTTCCATCTGAACAATATCTTCATTATGTTGTCTGTCTCACTCTTCATGTTGGGTCTAATGTTCATCGGTGCTCTAGCTTCTGTGTTAACCCTGTGCGAATTTATTCCTGATCCGAAAGGCCCTCCCCCGAATTGCTACAACTTTATCCCAATAGTGGAATGGATAAAACGATCTATTCTTTCTATATTTCTAGTGTTCTTTATCGCCTTCTTGCCTCTTTTCTTCCAAGAACTGACGGAAAAAGGTTTTATTCGCAGTGGCACGCGCTTGGGCAAACATTTTATGTCCTTGTCACCATTTTTCGAAGTGTTTTCAACTCAGATATATGCTCATGCAGTTGTTACCAATCTGACGTTTGGGGGCGCTCGGTACATTGCGACTGGTCGTGGTTTTGCAACAGCACGCATTCCCTTTTCGATATTATACTCACGATTTGCTGGACCCAGTATCTACTACGGCATGCGCTTATTGCTTATCCTTCTCTTTATCAGTATGGCGATATGGATCCCTCATTTGGCATATTTTTGGGCGTCTGTTGTGGCTCTATGTATATCTCCCTTCTTGTTCAATCCGCATCAGTTTTCTTTGGCAGAATTCATCATCGATTACCGAGAATTCCTCAGGTGGATGTCGCGTGGTAACTCCAAGTCGCATAAAAACTCTTGGATTGGTTATTGCCGCGTCTCAAGGACAATGATCACCGGTTATAAGCGCAAGAGATTAGGACATCCGTCGGAAAAAAGTGTGGCAGACGTTCCTCGGCCATCATTTGCAGTTCTTTTCGCGTCCGAATTGTTTACTCCCTTCTTCACAGCCATTCTATGTATCGTCGCATATACATTTGTCAAGAGTTTTGATCCCATAACCAAGAATACACCAAACAAAGGCTCTAGTGCTCTCATCCGGGTTGGCGTTATTGCTATTGGACCAATGATGATGAATGCTGCCATGTTGGTTGGACTGTTCATAATCTCAATTTGCATGAAACCTATGTTCAGCGGGGAATCAAGTCGTTTTGGATCAGCAATAGCTTTTATCGCGCATGGTTGGGCTGTTATCAATTTGATAGCTGCGTTCGAATTACTTTGGTACATTGAATCTTGGTCAGTGAGCAATGCTCTAATCGGCATAATAGCTGCTATGGCTATTCAACGCTTTGTCTTTAAATTTTTGGTTATTGTATTCTTGTCGCGTGAATTTAAACATGACGAGATTAATCTTGCATGGTGGACTGGTAGATGGAATAGCAAAGTTGTCGGCAATCCATTTTTGCAGGCTATGCGCGAATTAGTTTGTAAAATTGTGGAAATGTCTTTGTTTGCAACCGACTTCATTCTTGGCCACATTCTCTTATTTGTCTTGGCACCGTTCTGTCTTATTCCATATTTCGATAAGATTCATTCTATGATGCTTTTCTGGCTACGACCAAGTAAACAAATTAGAAAACCAATTTTATCCAAAAGTGCCCGCGCCGTAAGACGACAAATAGTTATCATGTACGGGCTTTTGTTTCTCTGTATGGCGATAATTTTCGCTGGATTGGTTGCCGGTCCAATATACGTGGGATTGAAGCTAAAGCTTCCTTTTGATCTGGGTATTTAGCGTGAGAGGGGTCGCTGGGTTCACAATTAATTTATTTGTAAACTTGTAATTTTTATTTCGTATTTATTTCTACTAGAATTAATAAAAAGAAATTGCTTTCCGGGCACTATTTGGTGCATCAAAATATTTATTATGTACATTTCTTATTATTATTATTATTACATTATCATCACGATTCATCAACGTCCTATGGAAATGTCTTTCGTTTCAGCTTTATTATTAAGACTGCTTATTACTGTGTCTAATTCGTCTTACCGTATGTAATTGTAATCGGCGTTTACCAAAAACCCGAATTGTTCTCCTCCTCACTGGAGAGAGCAACAAATGGCGGATGTTGCATGTCGTATTTATTATTAGATCCGTTTTTCTTATGCCGTTTGTTGTTTCTCGAAGTCGAACCTACCAGATCAAGGAAATCAAAATCTCTACCAGATGAACGTTTATTTCTGAAGTTAGAATAATTATTAGACAATCGATTATCAACTTCTCGAATTTCTTCAATGAACGAGTGTTTGATAAGCTCTTCTTTCGTTCGTAGAGTTGTTTCCGAAAACTCATCTGTAAAATCTTCATCCTGAGTAACTCCTAGAGCCCCTTGCAATTCTCCATTCGAGTACGCCTCATGTAACCGTTCCCTCGAAGATCTTATCTCAGCCGGAACATGTAATATGGATTTCAATATAGATAATGGGAAATCATCATCCGAGACTTTCTTCTTGCCCTTTTCATCAAAATATGTTTTCTGCACGTACGCCACCTTTTCAGTCAAGTCAAGATATGCCAAACCAAATTCTTTCCTGATGTCATACCAGTTTCTTGTTGCTCTTGCAACATCATTGTCTGGTTTGGCAGGATCTTCTAGACATATTTGGGCGAAATTTAACGATGTCCATAGACAATCTCTCTGCATGTACAAAGAACAATCAGTGCAACAACCAAAATCCTTGCAAAAGCTTGTCACCCAAATCTTGATTCACCTTTTGATAATATCTGCCACCATCTCGTATGCTAACCACGAGATCTCGGAAATTAAACTGGTTTCCGTAGAACTCAAAGAATTCTATGAGAAGTACTCCAAGATTTTTTTCTGGTTTTATGTAACCTTTTTGAATCAGTGGATGTAACTAAAAGGCGAAAAAGTGTTATAATAACGCGCAAATGCCTATAAACAGTAACAAAAGGTTTGATACTTGCTTGTAAGAAATGCAGGACCATTATCACAATACTATAACTGCCAAGTCCCCCAAAAGCAGCATCGTGGAGATTCTTCAACTTTAGAAAATGTTTGATAACAATCGTGAGCTCCTTAAGGGCAGGAATTGTATTTAAGTATTCCTTGACTACTCGAGCCGATTCTAACCCAGAAATATTGTTGAACGAAATATCGATAGATATGCCCGAATGTCGTTCCTGACATTTGATAATAGGAACCTAAAGTAAAAACCCAGGCATATTCAATAATTTATCAAGGCATACGTAATTAAAGAAACAGTGAATCAAGAAGAAATAAATTTTATTTACAGCGCCACGCATCGGTCAAAAAATCTTGACAGTACCTTTGCACGGGCGATCGATTGAGGAGGTCCCTGACATATGTCTTGATTCCTGAGTCTTTTAGACAGTCTATTCAAGGTTGAATCTGGCTTGTAGGCGTTGTATGCAGAACAGAAACACACTAGATCAATGTCACTACCAAGACAATTAGCAGGTTAGTCTACGTTAGTCTTGAATTCCAGTCATACCATTCTTTCCCGCATTCATTTACCTAGTTGGAAGATATAATCTTGTATCAAAACTGCCAAATGCATAAACCATCGACTCCTTCCATAATTCTGCGCAGACATTCTCTATTCGCTTAATGATAAACTTTCTCATTCGCTTCTCCTCCATGGTCGGCATTATATAGTCCACAAAATCCCGTAATTCTTGGTTCAAGCTAAGTTGAAAACAAACAAACAAACTGTTAGTCCTTGCATTCAGCAATAACAAAGTCATAATAAACATCACTTACAGTTCCGTCGCATGATCAAACTGATTTAAATCATAATTCTTGGATATCCATGGATAGTCTTCGTCGGTAAGCACAGTGATAACCTCTAATTCAGCACGCTTGCGTTTTCTGCTGTTTGTATTTACTTGTGGGTTTTTACTATCATCAAAGGGAATAAACCCATTATTATCCTTGAAGAGATCTTGCGTATTCTTCATCAGGCCGTTGTTTTCCTTTTTGTAAGGAGTTTGACAGGCCTCGAAAGAAAATAAATCCATTAGCCGTGTAACGTGAAGAATCCGTAGTAGGAATGCATGTGAGCTTGAGCTGTCCAAATATAATAATAACGTAAGTCACGGGATGCTTCAACTTTTTTATTCCCCGCACAATATCAATGACGATACACACAGAATCCTTTTCAACGACTTTAGAGAGTCTTAGATCAAATCCTAAAGTATATCAAAATTTAGAGACCCTTCTAACAAACGTTGGTGGCAATGTATCTCTTCACAAGCGATTTCGCGCTTTGTTTACCTTAAAAAATCTTTGTGACGAGAAGAGTATTGATATTATTGCTAAAGGTATGGGATATGGGCTAGAAAGAAATGATCTGTTTTGAATATTTCTTCTCATTTAATTGTTTTGAGCACAGCATTTACGGATGATTCTGCATTACTTAAACATGAATTGGCTTACGTACTTGGTCAAATGAAGAATCCATACGCTAATGATATTCTTCGGAGTGTTTTATCCGACAAATCACAGGATCCCATGGTTCGACACGAAGTCTGTATAGAGACAATGTTTTTTGATCGAGAAAGTCACCTCATCTATACGTTCAACACTAATATTAAAAATGTGTAGGCTGCTGAAGCGCTTGGTGCAATCGGGGATCTATCATCACTAGATATTCTGGGAGAACACCTTAATGACGAAAATCCCGTTATACGCGAGACATGTGAGCTAGCCATTGCACGGATAAACTACGAAAATCATCCCGACAAGAGAAAAGAACTCTCTTCCATTGACAGTGTATACACATCAATCGATCCTGCTCCGCCGAATACCGACATTCAGTCAGTTTCCAGGCTGCAGGAAATCTTACTGGACACAAGATTAACCCTATTCGAACGTTATCGATCAATGTTTGCATTGCGCAATATAGGTACCAAAGAAGCCGTGCTAGCATTAAGCGAAGTGCTATTACATGACCCGTCGGCTTTATTTAGACATGAAGTTGCTTACGTTTTCGGTCAAATGCAGAGCCCAGACAGTGTTCCGGCATTACGCAGCGCCCTAGAAAATAAAGATGAATTGTATATGGTACGTCATGAAGCAGCAGAAGCATTAGGATCAATTGCAACTTCAGAATGTCTGCCGATACTTCGGAAATTTCGGCAAGATGATGAGCGAGTTGTCAAAGAAAGTTGTGAAGTAGCTTTAGATATGTATAAGTACGAAAATTCAGATGAATTCCAATACGCTGATGGGGCGCTTGGAATCGTTGGCTAACATTAAATTATATATTTATACAGTAAATTCTTTTGAGACAGTTTCATTTTAGTAAAACTTCTAATACTTGTTGCCGATGCAAAATCATTTCTATAGCGTATCGCTTGGGTGATTGACATAAAGTCTAAATCCAGCATGTTCTACTACTAGAGGAATTGCAATGCCTTCGATGAGAATATAACAGAAAAATAGACATGCGGTTGAACATTGATTGGCAATCTTAGTTTAAACGAACACCCTGCACAGAATCCGCGCGCGTTCGCTGAAATAAATAAAATAAATATAACCATTCATTGCATAGATCACATGATACACAGTTTATTGACCTGCAAATTTTGGTTCGTTTTAAACGCCATGAACATAATGACTATATGTGAGCGTAGTGACTACATGTGAACGTAATGACTATATATATGCGAACATAATAGATATCAGAGATTTCAATGTATTTGTTAAGTAGAGGATGGTTTGCGATATACCATTCAGCTGCTCGGCCAAAAGGAGCATTATCGTCGTTGTTGTAAATGATTTTGAATTTAGAATACTTGTTGCGAAAACGCGACACTATTTTCAACAAAAGAATTGATAAATTTATTTTTACGGTTCTTATATAATATACGTTTCTATGCAACACAAGATGCGACACAGTTTGCAATAAATATTATTGTTTTGTTTTTAAGCGCGACAGGAATTTATCATTATAAGTATCAATGTTAAACAGTTACCGAGTCAAAAATACTGCACAATCATTTGCATTAACTTTGGTTGTGTTTTACATAAAATCAATTATGACAAAACAGAGTATTACAATAATAATAATCCTTTGCATGGCATGTAAATACAATGACAAGGGCGGTTTGCGCACAAGGGTAAACCCGATAAACCGAAGATGGCGATGCAGCAAATTTTCTTCGGATTAGTAGGGTTTCGGATTAGCGGGGTTGCTCTATAAACCGAAGTGTATATTCAGGGAAACCATACGTTTCGATAAACAGCAAACTGCCAAATAATGTCCGTAACATTAGTCTTTATTCGCTTATGACATAAGCCTACTACACCAAATAACTTCTATTTGAGATTGAAGGTTTCCAGCTAAAATGCGGATTTTCGGTCTAACCTTATTATTATTATTCTTATTATGCAAGATGTATCAGGTACCGGTACTCGCCGATCTATCAAAAACGGAAGCTTTTGATTCACTGGAAGGTGAGCGCACGTGAAAGTTAGCCAATTAATCGCCATGATGTTGATAGTGGCGTCAAAGTTGTCGCGTTAATGGAGAACTACTCTACCAGCTTTAGAGATCCACCTTAGTTCCCCCAAGAGAACTACTCTTACTGATTCTCAAAAGCGAACATTTTTGTAATTAGACGTGTACTAATAAAAAGACACGGGCTGTATATGTCAATTACGGAATGCATGTGAACAATTTGTTGAAGGACAAGAAATCTCATTCAGACTGACACCACATACAATACGCCATATTTTAGATGGATACTTTACTCGGTCATCACGTAGCCTGTGAATAAAAATTCCTCGAGATGCTAATTCTCGGGCGAAATTTGAAGGAGAGGCTATGTCCGCTGATGAAAACGCGCCATTTCTAATACTTTACGAGAACACTTTCCTAATTATTCCCTCGACAAAATATGTAATATGGACGAAACAGGCTTATTTACAGGTAGATAAGATTGTTAACAAATATATGTCATGTCATAATTAATTGCGTACATGTGGAAACTAAGGAAAATAGTGAAAAAAAAGATTTAGAAGAAAAAATAAAAAAAGACCTTCACTCTCTATTACCAGAAGAAGGTAACAAAGACTATGCATTATTAAAATCTTTGTTGGAAAAGATGGCTTTAAATCAAAAACGATTAAGTGGTTCCAGATTCCAAGTAACATCCTTTTGCTGACACAATCAACATGATCCTTGAGCCTCTGCGGGTGTTTTTGGATCGGGGCTTTCGTGTGTACAATTACTATTATTCAACTTTTTTATATTCAATGCCAATTATATGCTCTACTTTATAGGTCGAACGTTGGCATCCAGACGTATCGCTGGTCGTAAATTAAATAAAGAACGCCGACCATCGCATTATGTGCAAATGTCGATGGTTCGCACAAGTTGGATCCATTTATCATCGGCAAATATCAGAAGCCACACTGTTTTAACAATGTTAATATCAACAGTACTCCAATAAAGTACCGTCATAACACCAAAGCTTGGATGATTGTGGATTCAATATTTCGATTGTCAAGTCAGCTCAAAACATCAAGGCCGACGAGTATTATTACTCCCCGATGGATTCTATTCACCGTTCCCTAAGTGTCAAGTCCCAAGAGCGTGCACCTATGGAGGTGCGACTGTAGCGATGATCTCAACTAGTTGATAATCTTCACCCTATTCGAAACTATGAAGTTACATAAAAAATTGTTGCACTATCAAGAAATCTCATAAGTAATAAATTCCTATTGATTTGTTTGATCTCACTCGCGAGATTTCCTTGAACGACAAAGTTCTCACCCACCACGAGCTAGAGATAATGATCACCAATGTCCGTCCAATGAAGTAAACGTCGTGTAGAATCAATAACTACAAATCCTTCAACTCAAACTACCATATTTTTCGTTCCACGTTTGATATAGTTCCAAGTCGTTTGTGCTAACACTTGCCCGCACTAACATTAAAGGCATCAGTATAAAATCAATTAAAACTCTCGGACTCGTATAGAAATTGATTTCGCTTGCCTTGAGTCAATGCACCCAAAAAATCTATATAAATTGGTGGTATACCATATGATTATTGAGCGTTAAAATTAGTAATAACTCAATATAGAATATGACTAATTTTATAATTACCTTGAAACGTCATTGGGCGAACATCATCCGCTGCATGAGAGATATGTATTATAATCTATAGTTAATTAGATGATTTGAATACATTATACACTCACCTGATACGCTCCGGATGTCTTCGATTGCGCGTATCGGACCCAATGCGGCCTCTATTATAGTTAATGTTAGAATCAATCATGCATCCGCATATAGCAAAATTATATTACTTACTAATATTTTCTAAGAAAAACTTCAAATTCTACAACATACCTCTACAAAGTCCATCCATATCTGATCCAGAATATCCTTCCGTTCTTTTGCATATTTCATGAATCTCCTCTTCTGACAGTGAATGTTTCTGTTTTTTCAACAAATTGCATACGATCCCGTATCTTCCATTATGTTCAGGCAGTGGAATATAAAGCCGTTTCCTAAATCGACGCCCTAAAAATAGAAAAGTATTAATAACAGTGGGATTAATCGGAAAAATTATTTGTGCAAAATTGAGACTAACTTGCGGCTTCATCTATTTCCTGTGGCCTGTAAGGATATTAGTGATTGAATTACATTGATATAAGAATCAATTATAGTACAATTATGGAGGTTATAACCTATTGGTTGCACCGACGATCAGAATACGGTCTTCTTCCTCGGCTGCTGTCTTAACACCATCCTATATGTTCGTGCGTTATATAATCATCGTAAATAAAATAGATAATGAAGGTAGAATTCGGACGTTAGCATGGAATTCGCGTCGTAAGCAATCACTTCAAACTACATACAAACTGGACGAGAAATTCCGTCTTTATACGACGCGACGCTGTTTTGGAGTGTGATAATTATACGATTATATAGTTGTACTTCAGCCCAATCAATGATCATACTGTCCTCAAACTCACCCTCAAATTCGCCATCAGTCCTTTGCGTTAACAGTGAATCAATCTATTGTGTAGCTATATTATTAACATAAAGTTGCATAATCATAGTTTACCGCAAGTATGGTTACCTCATCCACGAAAACTACTGCTGGCTGATTCACCCGTGCAACTGCAAAGAGCGCACGAACCTAGAATATGGCGTCAATTAATGCGGACCATGTTGCAACATCGTAGTTCGTGTATTGGAAACTGCATGTTACCATTTTCTCGCCATCTCCCACCCATTTTGATGTCAGCGATGATGAGCTACAGGAATACCCGACATTAGCTCGTGATGCCGCGAACGACTGCATTCTGCAAGGTGTCTGCTAACCTGATGCTAAAAAATGTCGCCCCAGACTGACTATAATAAGATTAGAAATAATAATTAGCTGAATTCCACAGTCTGGGATGTGCAATTGTTCAATATGTATTAGCCTGCTTATCAAAACATCTAATAACTTTCATAAGTACCTAGCAATACACTTGCCAATCAATGTCTTTCCTAACATATTCAACACCGAGTATTAACTAAATAGCTACACAATCTTTGACTGACAAACAACTACCTGTTCCGGGTGGTCCGAAAAGCAGTAACCCTAATGAATTGCAGGGATCAATAACGAAAGTGTGCAAGCATTAGAATGCGCGATCAAATTTGCTTTACCTTTCGGTGGTCCTCTTAGTCCCGTGAAAATATCACTATAATTGATGATAAACAGAATTTCAGACGCGTCAATAAAGATTAATTATTTGCTCACGCTACATACGGTCGCAACATTGGCCAAGTAACAGCCTCCTGGATTGTTTTCTTTGCGTGTTCTAATCCGGCAATGTCGTCCCATGTGATGTTTGGTGTTTTATCCATAATCTATAACGTGAAAAAGATATGATTAAGCATGCAGTAATTGAATGAAACGAGATCTTTCATCCTCACCTCATTTTGAATCATCTCCACCATTTTTGGATCAATGTTTCTCAATCTCTCATCAATCTGTTCTTCAATTTCTACTGATTTAAGCAACTTGGCTCTATTCCTGTATTAACAAAAGAGATACAAGTAAAAAATGACCAGTATCATAACGAAAATTAGTACATTTATTTTCACATGACATGTAACTAGTTACTCTTACACATTCCGCAGGCAATTGTCGGGTCAGTTGTTGCACATTGACTACATCTTTACTTCACTCACCTTGTTACCTCCCTATCGTCTTCTGCACATTCACGCTTTAGCAAGGGCGACACAAATTTGCCACGCTTACCAACATCGCTTGAACCAAGTAAACGCCGACGTAAATTTGCAGAGTAATTATATTGTGTGCCTCCCTCATCGGTATTCTGAGATTGTTGAACAAAACGAGATTTGCGTTTTGCTTCGGCTGCCTTAATCAAAAAACAAGTAAGCATAATTCCACCAATACCTTTCCTGAACTAAGAAGAAGAAGAAGAAGAAGAAGAAGAAAAGCATAGCTATTTAGCGCGTACTAATTGTTGTTTCGCGGTGACAAAGCTCCCACACACGGCAGGCTTTTCACAATCTTCGTCGACTTCCATGTCATCGCTAGTTTTCTTATCATGTTTATAACGAAATTGATAGAAATGAGTCATTATCAGTTCCAGATCCAATTTGAAAAAGAAGCAACTCCCAAGTCTACCAAGTTGGGCGGTCCATTATCGAATCCAGCATTTTTAGTGTTCGTAACTTTATCGTCTATGTCCATCTTGCTAGTCTGGCTTTGATTTGGCTTGCAATTTTTCGCGAATAGATTATGATCCGTTCTAGCTAAAGGTTTCTTATTATTAGGATTCTTAATAAAATACGAGGATATCAATGATGAGGCTGTACGAGGTTGTCGCTTTGATTGAGGACGCTCCGGAGCCAACTTTTGAGAGACGTCTTGAGCTGTATGGTGTCTGTCCAATTGTGTCTGTTGTAGAGTGCAGTCGTCAGGCGTTAACATTGAAGCTGATGGCTGGTTGCATTCGGACGTATCAGAGAGTTTATCCGTCTTTACGATTGCCAATAGACCGTTGATATCAGGAACTTCTAGAATATCATATTCATCATCGATACTGCATTCCTGAATTGTTTTTATTTATCAGCCACTTAACGTTTATCAAGCAGAGCATATATTTTATATAAAATATACGCACCATGTTCCCAACAACGTTCATGTTCAGTCCTGACTTTGCTTCTTTGATAAAGCTTTTCGCGCCTTTACTTTTTAATATCCTATCCACTTCACCATTAATAATCTTATCCATTCCATTTTCGCTATCGACCCAGCATTCATCATACGATTGCCAAATTTTATCGGCCATCTCTTCGTTATCAAGATGCTCCACAAAAGAATTAGGAGTATCACTTGAGAGAAGCATCAAAGCTTCACGATAATTAGCTGCCGCTAGTCGCATATAAGAAGAATCATTAGAGGACGAGGCCAGAGCACGATATTTTTCTGCAGAAAAAAGGCGCGTTTGAAAGTAATTGAGCTTATATTGACTCTCTGCATTCATAATTTAAAATTAATTAGCAAAGAGGATTATGATGATTCATCTTCGCGTTCGGAGAATTTTATGTCACATGATGAATATTTTGGTTACACATACGCGAAAAACATTGTGCAAAATCAACGCATACAGACATGCACATACAACCACGCTGGTTAAAAATAAGTAATAGTAACATTTTAATTTATTAAGTAATTAAAAATAATGATAACAAAAACTTAATTACATGGTAATATCAATACCGATACATATATTAATATAGGTCTCGAACATGGTTTAACCTTATTTGTATTAGTAATAAGTAAAAATCTTTTCCCTCAATCTATTTTTTCGCGACGATGAAAACCATCGCCACGTTAACCAGCTAATTATACATTCATTGACATTGACACCCGCACACAACCTTCTAACGACGACATGGTAACATTTTCGGATCGAATACTGATATCACAAAAGACGATGTACGCGAAGTAAAAGTACAGTATGTTACATCTTTAATTTACCATCATGTTTGAATTTGTAATACGATCTTCAGATATCAGACCAAGTAAATATGCACAGCGAAAAACTTTTCACATATGTCACGAGTTAGTAACAACCAACAAGTTACACGATTACATCATGCATAAAAAGTTTAGTAACCTTCTAATTTATTCTGTGATAAATGTTGATCGAACATCTGTGTTATCATTAGTAACAATCATAATAATCAGGGGTACCCCAACAATTAGCGGGTCACGCATTAACTCTGAATATACTTTTTTGGTACTTTCGTTCATTAAAGGACACAAATCGAAGGCGAGACTATTATAATTATGAAAAAACCTAATTACGTTAGTTAGAAGGTCAATTAATTGTTTGAATTCGTCCTACATTTGTAATAATTGTTAACATTGGTGATACGAATAACAGAAGTCCGATTGCTGATGTCTCTATAGACCTACTTTACAATAAAAAGTTCTGCCAATTTCTGGTCCTTTACCGTCCAAGTCTATAAATAAATTCTGATCTGTGATTTTTTATATAAAAAGGCGGATTGAAAGAGATTCCCATGGACTGGTTGTTCCCGGCAAGATCTCAAAGATGCGAATGGTTTAAACCGCATAAACAAACTCGACAGGCCAAAAGCAAATCAAATTCGAATTCCACCAGCTTCCACTGATTGTAGGATATTGAAATGATTTCATGTGACCAGCTTTCTCATCGTTAAAATAATTATATTTGGTCCTATTATGCACAGGATTTATTAGTTTATGTAATAGCGTCACTAATGGGTGTAATAAACAATTAAAGGAAATCTTTATATTAATATTGCTATAAGACTTTTTTTTTCCGAGGATTTATCATATAGAACATACTTGTGGTAGCCTTCAAAGTACAGAGAAAGGATTAGATGAAAAAAATATAATCGATAGAAAAGAGCAAAAATCCTATTTGTAAATGGCAAACCTTTGCAAATCACACTAGCCGTTTTTTGCATTACTATATTCTTTTAGCGTCAACAAATCAACAAGTTTAGATAGCTGTCCATTGGTTACAGAAAGGGCCAAATTAGTTTCGGAAAGAGCTGTAACAACATTATCCACCTTTCCTGCAAGTTTGGTTATACTTTCTACCATCAGCTGTGGTTCGACTATTTGTAACCGAAAACGTTCTAGTTCAAGACAGTTTTTAAGAAGATTTTTTGACTCGGGAAAATCTCGAGCATTTAACATCCGCATGGATAATGATGAAAAACTAGAATCCTCAGAAATCTTAGTTCTTTCTAATTTTTCTGGACCTTCTAATTTTGAAATCATATTTGCAACAATCTTGAAAGTATGTTTTCCAAACAAAATATTCAAGTGAAAAAAAAATAATAAATCAATTACTTGATTACGTTTTCTGATTCATGTAAAGAAAGCTCATTGGTGACTTTTCTTAGTGACTTAGTAATGGCGCACGTTTATCAGCAGTCACCTAAATTTTTCTCCATGATTATGATTAACAGATATTATCATTATGTACTTACCCACACATTTATCAAAGCAACCATGAAAGCTAATTATTATGAAATGAATCTTTATTTTTCTTTTATAAGGAGGAAACTAATTTGTCAATAGAAGCATGAAAAAGAAACAAGTTCCAAACAATCTAAAAAGAAAATGAATTGATGGAAATTTCTCCAAACTTTACAAATTATTACTAATTATTCCTCTTATACTTCTTTTTATCTTTATCAACCAATTGAGGGCAGTTTCTTCTTAGCTCTTTGGGAAAATCTACAACAATTGATTAGAATTGTTAATGCTTAAAAAATATAACATATTTGCACAAGCTTGAAATATACCTTTTCATTATACAATTCTTGCCATGCACCACCTTTCTGGTCCTTCCAACATGCACTCATTCTAATTTCAGTAAATTCAAGATTGTGCCAAATAGTCACAACATTTAAGTTCTCCACTGTTGGCCATTGAGGATCCACCATTGTTTCTGGATTAAGGTTCTGCTCTGTAGTTGGCCATTTACAGTTTTCTGCCTTGGTGGCATCATCTTCACAAGTAAAATGAATAACCCAGATATCACGAATATTGAGGAATTGAAAATTTGAATTTCTGTATATGTTTTGAGTTGAACAAATCCTGAGGCTGTCAGCATATTCCAGAGCACACTTATAATGGTTTTTTAGTTGGGACTCTGTTGAGGTTGCAAGAAGCTCAAGAACTGCTGTCATATGATAGTTGGGCTCAGTTAACACCACATCACAATACCTTCCATTACCCAATGTATTCTTCATATGGTATTGACCAATAATTTCAAATGAGAAAGTGGAAAGCCAATTTTGAAAAATGCCAACCAGCTGTTGCTGATACACACTTACTTGTGGAACCCGCATGTTCAGCTTCTTATCAACTCTCCCAGGTGCTATCTTGAATGAAAATAAGGCTCCATTCTTCATATCTTGTTGATTAAATAAGGGAATGACAGTCTTAAGAGACTCAAGTATGTTGAGGCTATAGTCAGGTGCTTGGCGTAATGGAATGTCTGTTGATGGACAAGACATCCATTTGTTTAAAGTATTTTTTATGATGAGAGAGCGTAATAATGGTGAGGCCATTACAAAGGCATTTTTGTCTACAACATTCAGAGCCCCTTCCTTGGCAAGGAGTCCTGACAGCTCAATTTCCTTTGCATTAGTAATAGTCACAGGTCCAGCATTAGCCAGAAATTTTTTTTGCAGTAAGGTAATAGATTCTCTCATTTCTGGCTTTCCTAGGTTTCCCACTAGCCTTTTGAATGTAGGATAATACATCACCATTTCTTGCAATTTGGTGACAGTAAAAGCTTGCCATAAATTGAAATCAACTGAAACACCAAAAGACCCACAGAGATCATCATCAATCGCACGGCCACAAAGGCAAACTAGGCCAGCATGCCTATAAAATATTATATTTATTAGTGTAATTGTAAATAATTCATAATTATGATTTCATAACTCAACTACACATTAACATACACACCCATTTGTTCTGTGATAAATATCATCAACAATCCGTCTGTCAAGTTGTATATTTCGGGCCTCAACATACTGGTTGAAGAGCTGAATTACTGATTCATAGCTGAGACTTTCACCTTTAAGACTTTCAGTAATGTTGAATGGTGATAAATTTGGATTTTCCTGGTTCATCATCACAACACCAAAAGTGCCAATAATTATGATGGAATCTATGATATACTCATCCTGGTTACTTCTGATAGCACGGAGTGCCTGCAGGCATGCATTGCGGGCAGGCATGACATTTTGTGCATAAAGGGTATCAAATTCATCAAGTAGTAAAACCACAGGAAGATTCCACCACTTGTCATCCTTTTTGAAAGCAGTTAAGAAGGTATCTGCACTATTTATCTGGACTGGCAGAATATTGGGTTCAGGAAAAGCATTACCAAAATAATACCAGAACTTTTCTGTTTGATTATCATTTTCTTCAAGGAAAAACTTCTGAAAATCCACACTATACAAGGCAAGAGAATTATGGAGATATTGTTATTAAATAGCCAAACAATAACAAGTTAAACTGCATATTAAGATTTCTAAATCAAGTAAAAAAATTCACTTACTAAATACATTTATATTTCTTGACTCCCTCCTCTGTTTGAATGCCACTTTGTAATTGCATTGCAAGTTGCATCATGCGAGTGGATTTGCCAGATGCACGTGGTGCATGAAAGCTCACAAATTGTCGATTGAGGATGTGATTGACAAGTGGCTGATTTTTTTCAGTTTGGTCTACAACAAAATACTTTTTATAGTCACTTGGTGTGATAGTCCCATTTACTGAAAAAATTTTGGTTTTCTTGTACAAAGGTCCACCTATCAAAATAGAACATTATTAAAAATTGATGAAAACCAAAGTGCAAATACAAATTGTGCCAACATTACCATTGTCATGATTGTCATGCTCCATCAGCTGCCTCTTTTGCTCTGATAGACAGTTAAATTATAAGCATAAGTGGAGGCTGAATTCTCAGATTTTAAAAAGCAATACATATACATAGAAAGGAATTGTTTCAAGCTATGCTAACAGGAGGTGTGGTGTATAAAGGTATTTATTGTACAAAAGGTTTTAAAAGTATAGGAAATACCTGGAGATTTGACAAATTCTTGCTCTTCTAAATGCTTTATCATCATTGCAGGCATATTCAAACTTTTCAACTCCTCTGTAGTAAATCGTTTAAAATCACCAATCTTCTTCAACCACTGTCTCTTTAGACTTTCTGCAAGTTCATTCACTTCCTCTTGAGTCGCTCTCTCGTCCCGAACAAACTCTTGCAAAAAGTCAGAAATTTTGGTATTGTCATTCATGTTGTATACGTGTTGGAGAGCTGGACTTCTAAGAAAGATGTCAAGAAGTTAGAACTGCGATGGCTTCTTGCCTCACATACCCCACTACTATGGTTTTCCTCCACGAATGGGATTCTATGAGAATGGTACTTACATGTATGTTAAATGCGTGTAGCGTGTGTTGTGAAAACAAGGGAAAGAAAAGGGTTTGCGTGAAAAGGTTAACGGTCGGCGTCTGTGTACGCCAATATTTGATGACACACCCACCCCATGACATGATTAATAATAACAACCTACACCCCCTGTTCGAGACTGAATTTCATCGTCCCTGGTCAGTGTAATGTCTGCTGCGAAAGCTTCTGAGGAACAACTCACCATTGCCGATATTACATACTTTTCTTTGAACACGCAACCAGAGGGTCAAATGCGATCCATGTTATGAAAATATCTGGCACATGTCGTCTCTTATATCAAGATGACGTAGTTCCTAAGGATGTTAATGCAGCTATTGCTACGACTAAGACCAAAACACACTATCCAGTTTGTCGATTGGTGTCCTACCGGATTCACAAATAACAACCACAAACCAAATTCTCTAATTTCAGCCTTAATTTGACTTAAGACAGATGGTACCGGCTCAACTCTATCTGGTAATTGCCACTCAGTTAACCATTAGACGGTTAACCTTTTCGTTACACGGATTCGCGACTTCAAAAATATAACGGACGAATCAGCAATAGAATTACGATTATAAATAATTTAATGAGAAATAAAAGAATAATATGATATAAGGGAATCGAGTTCATACTACAACACTTTACGAACACATAGCCGCACACAGTTAAACACAATCAGTCAAACAGTCAAAACACACAGAAACTGCTCCAACGGTTGCTGCTCTATGTTAGTTCAGTACAGTAGATGATTCATGATTCACCAGCAACGTGAAATTCTAATTGGCCATGTTGATATTTGCTGAAGAATATTTGGAGAAACGCGAATATGTCCTCAGTCGCAGTAATTGCATCAGTTACTCCCATAAGAAAATCCGACGTTCATTGGCTGTGTTTAATTAGAAACTGTCAACATAAACATGGACCTAAAGGTATGGAAAAGAACATGTGCTCTACCTGCAAATACTTGACAAACAGGGTAGACGATTAGAAGGGCTCTAAAAATATGACTGATACATTTTTAATCCATTAATAAGGATTAGTTGTGTCGATTCCGTTAGCATGAACCCAATTCAAGAATAATCCAGTCATAGTGATGCGTCTAGGGCCACCGTACAGTTGATAATAGTATATGTGTATTGCTGATACAAGGTAGAAGACAATCGACGAGTTCATGGTCGACTGGACTGGAAGAAAGAATGTCTGTCACATTGTACTAAGAAAAGTATGAGTGAGAGTAATGAGTAAATAGCTGACAGTAAAGGTCCCATGCTTACTATAAGAATAATTAGACGTAAATGTGCGTATCTTACCTACTTAACACTATTATCACACAACGATTCTGACTTCAATGCTCAGAAAACCCGTTATGTGTCAGTATTCCGAAATTATCTTCCAACTGTGCTTGCAGATCATGTTCGATATCTTCCATTTATTTCCGATAGTGAGTGTTTATATTTGCTTGTAATCGATGACAGCGGATGGAGTGGGACGCGTAATCCTGGTCGATGATTGCCGCATAATATAGCCGTCATTTTTTACGGTGAAAAGAAAACGGAAGGATGAGAATCTGGACGGGCAGAGCAAAATTCCGTCTCCTTTTTATTATCGGCAGCGTATGATACGATACACCATAATATTAATAAAAATAAATTCCTTTTATCCGCTAATTATAATTATATCGTTTGGGACCGGTTAGTATTAGATAATGTTTGTTCCAGAAATTCCGACTCATTCATCAAACAAGTGCTCGAGACTTGTTGCCTTCCTGGAAGCCTCTTTTGCCTGCCGTTTCCGATTCTCGTGAATGATTTATTTCGCTTTCGAATCAATTTTGATTGCCGCTGCTCAGCTTTACCAAATTCCACCAAAGACTGCTGTAATTGCTAGATGCACTACTGGCTCTGGAATATCGCCAAGACAAAGAGTTGAGAGAGAAACATAAATAGTGTTTTGGATGTCAAGTATAGACAATGTTAAAGAGAATGCGGAATAGCAGAGGGTTAATATTGAATGTCTGCTTACCACATCAACTTATCGTAGTATGGACATTCTGCATCTTGTGGTATCAACACAATCATACACCTTTTTTTTTGTTTTGTACGGATCTTTCAACAACAAAACGAAAGACAAATCATAGCTATTAAAATGTCTTTTAAACAATAATTGATTCTATTCAAACATCTACGTTTGGTCGAGTCTAAGTTGTAATATCGATATTATCTGCCAATAAAATTTCTGTGCAAATTAGTCTTGGGTGTATTTCCCAATTTACTCCTCATGAAAGGATGTCATATTACTTCATTATACCTACAACATTTGAATATTCATAGAAGACTTTGGTATTCTGCCATGAATTGGCTTCTGTGGCTACATTTCCATCACTAATTTCTTCGAAATTTACTTGCTCTGCACCTTTAATTTTATTAACTAATTCTATCACCCTTGTTGCCGGACCCCGTGAGCAAGATTGTGAGGATGAGAAAGTAGTGTGTATTTAGTTACCGTAACCAGCAAGCTTGCTTTTTTGAATACATAAATATCATCATTATCGAGAAAAAGCACATCTTTATCAGACTCAAAAAAAGCGTCTACAAATGCGTACGATATACTAATTGAGACTTTCCTAAGACTAAGGATAAGAGGCTGCGTGTCAATGTAACACAATTAAGAGTTGACACTTTAACTTGAGAGATAAGATTTTTAATTCAACTATGTCGTCATTTGCTAATAATCCAGCCATTGCCAACTTGGTTGAATCCTCCTTGGAAAGTGAAGAGACGTACTTAAGACTGAAATGGATACCTTACGAGGAAATCACCAACGTAAAACCTACTCAAATTGACAACGTTTACTACGCTATTCGCAAATGTAATGGTGATGAGACGATAACGGAAACGCTAGTATTACTTGGAAGTGGTGAAGAATGCACACCAACACTTGTGAGTGAGTTTGCTAGAATATACTCACTTCCAACACACAAGTACAATAACAATG